CCTTTCTCATGCGGTTCCGAAAAACTCGGAGCACTTTCACAACATTCTCGAGTGTTCCAGAGGAAGTCTCATGGTCGGGCACACCGAGCCCCAGTTGTTTCACTGGTTCAAGCAACTTGGCACTTTGCCGCCGCGGGCAATTCTCTCCGGCCCACTGGAACTGCTCTCTGGCGACATGCAGCACGAGGCATGGGAGAAAACGTTTTCCCGTCACCCAGTGATTCATAGCATCGCACAAGACATGTGGACACGCAAGGATAGTAAGACCGAAGAGGAAGTTGTCACCATTGAACGCCGAGAACGTGAGGAAGACGAAAAGCGCATGCGTCGCATGAGCAGCAGTGACTGGCGGGCAAAATTCAGGGACCGTGAGCGCAACCCCACCGCCGAGGAGGATGAAGAACGGCCTATTTACGTCATCAAGCCAGAGACTTTCGCGCTGTTACGGCTGCAGCCTGATGTAAAGCTTTGGATGAATGTTGTTTCCCAGACGCAGCGTGTCTGGGAGCCTGTGATTCCCGACCCTGACCCGCTCTGTCGCTGTGCCCCACGTTTCCTGCGCATGCTTAACCTCGCGCGGCAAAAACTTGTACCGTCCCTCAATATGAACTTTGCCCTGAAGCTGACAAATGCGTTTATATTTGAGGTGGACAAGGAAGGACTGTGGGCGATGGGAACACAAGAAAACCTCCACGGGAGTTGTTCGCCCGCCGACGGTGCGGTACGGGAGGAGTGGACGGAGTTACGGTTGGAGTTTGGGAAGGGCCAAGTGATACAGACGGAGCAGGAGATGGAGTGGTGGGTGCGTGGGCTGACGAAACTCGGGGCACCGGAGATGTCACAGTCGAACAGTCAAGTGGAGGATGCGGGAATGAACCCGGAGGATTACGACTACCGCCACATCTGAGACGTTTACAAAAAGAAAGGAAAAATGAAGGAATCATATTGACATGCGCACTCGCTCTCTCTCTCTCTCTCTCTCTCTCTCTTTTACAATTTATGTATGTTTTAATAACGACAATGGAACGGAGGGGAAAATAACAAAAGAAAAAAAGGAAGAGGAAGAGGAAGAGGAGGGGGAACATTTGGTTGACTTCCATTGAGGTTTGTGCTCCATGCAAAAAAAAAAAAAAGAAAAAAAAAAGAGGGAAAGAAAAACAAAAACAAAAGTGGGATGGCGATGAGTGAAAACTGGGAAGAGAGAAGAAAAGAAAAGAAAAGAAAAGAAAGAAAAGGAGGATGAGGCAAATGGCATGTGAAAAGATAACAAAATAAATAAATATATGAGAATCATTTTAGAATTTTTAACATGTAATTTGTCTTAATTAATGTCTTGTTGCTTGGTACTGTTACTGTGGTAGTAGGTTAACTAAGGGAAGAGCACACATGACGTCTATGGCGCCGCAGGGTTGGGCGCAAGGGGGCGGCGACCGTTGGTACCCACAACAACAACAACCACAACAACAACAACAACAGCCTCAGCCTCAGCCGCAGCTCCCGATGCAACCGCAGATGACTGTTGGGCCGCAGTGGCAATCGATGAATGGGGCACCGCCTTCCATGGGGTTTCACCCGTCATATCCGCGTTCATACATCACGCCCCAGTCGCCTCAAATGCAACCGTCAACACCCCCGCAAACACCTCCACAAACACCATCATACAATCTACAGCCACCACAGATGTATCCACAGCCGCCAATGGGTCAACCGCCCTTCTGGGGGGTGCCGCCGTACCAGCAAGGGTACGCACAACAAGGCTGTTTTGATCAAATGTGTTATACCATTCCCGGTCAGCCTGGACCATGTGATGGGTGTGGAAGCCAGGCGGTGGGTAGTGGTTGTTGTTGCTGCAACAATGGACCAATGGACCCTTACTGTTGTGGACAACCAACGACGCCTGGTTGTATGGACTGCCTGACATCTCACTGTGAATATACATATTGTGCTATGATCTTTTTTACCATACTCAGCGCGGTGGGTTTTATTGTTGTGCTTGTATATGCAGACAATGATAACCTTTTTAAAAGATTTCGTGCTAACAACACGATTGAGTTGCAGGAATCTATAGAAGAGCATATTATTATGAGTACTAGTTGCGAGGCTAGCAATTTAATTGGTCTCGCCGGCCGTGTGTGCATGGAAGGCAACCTCAATGCAAACACGTTTGTCGTTCAACTCAGCGAATGGAATATACAGAGATACACTCTTTACTTTATTGCCATGTTATTTTCCATCGTAACACTCTTGTATGCGACAATTGTGCATTTTCAGCGTCAGAAAGTTGGGGGAGAACCCAAAGCTGTTTGGTCCTCTCAACAACAACAGCAGACAGGCAAGCAAAGACCTGAAAATACTGCCCAGGATGCGGCACATGGGGCCAATGCAAAGGAGCAACAACAAAAACAACAACAACAACAACAACAACAACAGCAGCAGCAGCAACGACAACAACAACAATCCTTATCACCTTCCATTAATAGGCCCATTGAAGTTTACGGCACGCCCTTTTACGAATTTATGCGTATTGCGTGGTTTGTAATGGGTGTGGCAGTTGTCTTTTGGGTGGCTAATCTATTGTACTCCTTCTGGGCCTTTTATTCATTTTATCATCGCTCCACAACAGGACCGCTGCGGAATTTTTTTGAAGAATACAATACCCGTTTTAGTGCCTCTGTCATTTGTGTCGGGATTTACCTTGCATGGCCTGTTGTAAACATATTTGTGGAACTGGTCTTGTGGATAGTCTTTTTTTTGCCATGGCTTATATTCCGGACATTATTTAAACCTGGTATTGGAAAACTACGACCGGCACTTCCACTTGACAAAATGCCCGGATGTATTCGTTGCGACATGTTTTTTATGGACTTTAATGAAGTTCAGCGGGCCGGCTTCTCGGAACCCGCTTGGAAACTCATAACAGGCAGCACCACGCCACTCTTCCCATGTTGTGAGGACCCTGCCGTTGATAGGGATCCCACAATGGCGGCGTGGCATCAATATCAGTATGAGTGGTACATGCGCATGCAGGGGGTGTACCCGGTACCCGGAATGCAAGCCATCGGTCCGCAAATGTTGCCGTCTCCCACGACATCGGTGTCTGTGGATATGCGGGAGGGTGAATCAAGACATCGAACACGCAGCGGCAGCGCACGACACCACCGTCGCCATCACAGGAATGAAGCCGGTGGTGCGGCGGACGAAAACGCCACTAGTCCAGCGGGGGGCAGTAGCCCACGGCGGGCCTCGGGTGCGCAGACTCAAGACGTTGAGGAGGGCAGACACAGACGACGGCGTCACAGCAGATCAAAAAGAGGTGAAGAAGACGGTGGGGAAACGAATGGCGGAGCTGCGGAAGGCCGACACAGGCGCCACCGCCACCACAGTCGTGGTGAAGGCGACCAAAGCAACACCATGACCGGTGTTACCGCAGTGCGGAGCACTCAAAAGCATAACGCGGACTTGGACCGAATGTTGGAAGAGCTATAGTCAAAAGGCACGGCAATCTGAAGAGTTAGGGGTGGAGTTGTTGAATGAAGAAACTCAAAAAAGAAAAGAAAAAAAGGAAACGAAAGTGAAGAAATATATATATATAGAGAGAGAGAGGAAGAGAGATGAAGAGAGAGGAGTTGAATAAAATAAAAATGTACATGCATCGATTATCTCATGTCTTCTCTTTATGGGGACACATGCATGCATGCATGCATAATTGCAATGTATTTTTTTTTTTTTGATTTTACCAGGACATGAAAAGGGCATTTCTCCACATTTGCGTAAATGAACTGCGTTTTTTTTTTTTTTTTTTTGTTTTTTGAGGGGGTGGAAGATGTGCGTGCGTGCGTGTGTGTGTGTAGGGGAGGGAAAACACATCCATTTTGTTTGTTTGTTTGTTTTATCTGTTGTAGAAACGCCGAATCCATCGTGTGTCCATCTGTAAACAACAGCAACAACAAAGAAGAAGAAGAAGAAGAAGAAGCATATATATTTTTTTTTTATTTACGTTTTCCCTTTCCCATCCTTTCCTTTTTTTTTTTTATTTCTCTCTGCCTGCCTGTAAATATATAGTGTACATGGATAGAGGAGAAGTGAGAGGGAAATGGAGATGGTGGTTTATATTTATGTGGGTTATAGAGACGGTGGAAAATAGAATGGCAGAGAGTATGCCGCATAGAGAGAGAGAGAGAGAGAGAGAGAGAGAAAAAAAAAAGAAACCGTACACAAACAAACAAACATCTCTGTGTGGGTGGGTGTGTGTGTCTCCACATGCGGGCGGACGGAGAGGCAGGCAAGCAGGCATGAAGAAGATGTGGGGAAAAGTGAATGTCATGAGAAGAGGGGAGGAGAGGGGGAAGACCCAAGAAAAGTGCTCTCAACAGCCATTATACATTCATTGAATGTTATATTATATATAATATTTTTGAAAAGAAAAAGAAAGGAGAAAGAGAGTGAGGGGAATTGGAAGAACAAAAAACAACAACAACAACAAAAAGAAAAAAGGGCAAGTAAAAAAAAGGAGGAGAAAAAATATATAAATAATTTTGATTTTTTATTTTTTTAGGAAAGAGTGAAGAGAAGGAGGGGGATGGGAGGGGTGGTATGCGGCTTCTTATTATTTGATGAGATATTTGACTGTTTGTTTTTGTACCTCCCTTCTGTTCACTCATTTGCCGCAAGCGAACACACACACACACACACACATATGCATGCATGCATGCACAAGTAAACTCCTGGGAAGTAGCGGAAGTGGAGTCATAACGTCTTTACCGCCTTTCCCCCTCTCCCCCTACCACCACTTTCACTTCTTCCTGCGTGTATGTCGTTTGAGGTGCGTGGGGAGGGGTGGGGAATACACCTGGTCCAATGCATGCACACACACACAAAGAGAGAGAGAGAGAGTGAGGCATGCTTATATGTATATATGTATGCATCTTCCTCCCCTTTTTTTTGTGGGTATGATGGTGACACCTTTTGCTTTGTTTTGTTTTTGTTTATTATTATTATTATTATTAAGCCTGTGTTTCCGCCCCGCTCTCACCACTTCCTTTTTTTTTTTTTTTTTGCCTGTTTGATCTTTTTCTTGTTGGTTTGTCATGCCTTCTCTGGCGGGCTGCTTGGGTGCGCTGTGAGGTAACTTTTTTTTTGACTTCTTTGTTGCTTTTTTTTTTTTTTGTGTGTGTGTGTGTGTGTGCGTGTTTTTTTTTTTTTTTTTACTTCTCCCTGTTCTCATTGCTTCTCTCTGTAAAATAAAAATGAAAAAAAAAAATTTTATTTAAGGCGTTGCTTGTCACACTGCGCCGTCTGCTGCTGCACGCCACGACGTCATTTTCTCCTCCTCATCCTCCTTTTTTTTCTTTTCTGTTTCAGGGGAGTTTAGGTTCAGGGTTGAGGTGCGATGGGGGACGGCAACACCGCGAACCGGGTGCCGCGTCTCTTTGACGGCCCAACTGGTGATGTGAACACGGCCTTTACGCATAAAGTGCGGCAGCTGCTGCTGTCATCATCATCCTGCGGGACTTCGAGTCTCCCGGCGGCAGTGCGGGCCTCTCCGCTCTACGCCGCCATTCTTTGCTTTGCGGAGGCGGGGACTGAGAGCCGGCAGCAGCAGCAGGAGCAGCAGCGGTCTGGGAGTGAAGCGGGGAAGCCGTCCGTGGGTTCTGCGCCTGTTGTGCCTTCATCCCTCGCCCGCCGTGGTGTTGTGCCACGGGATCCACTTTTGCAACGAAGGATGCGCAAGCAGCAGCAGCAGCAGCCATCCTCATCATTATTGCTCTCCGGAACGAGTAAGGCGGCACCCTCCAGCAAGACGGCGGTGGATGGACACGAGCCGCAGGTACAACAACGGCAGTTGTTCCATTGGAGTAGACGTCCGCTGCAAGAAATGACATCTGCGGGGTGGGAAGTGTTTCGTGAGCAGATGGGGATACTCATGGAGATTGTGTCGCGCCGTGCAGTCGGGCAACCGGAAAAACAGCAGCAGCCACGACCACCGAGGTATACTGCGGATGCACTTCGTCCGATACGTTGCTGGGAGGAGGCACGTCTTCCTCTTGCGCTTGGAACGATTGTGTCTCGTCGCTACGCGTTACCAACGCCGATTCAGGCGCAATGTGTCCCGCTTGTCATGGCGACGGCGGCGACGCCAAGTGACAAGATCGACGTGCTTGGTGTTGCGGAAACTGGAAGCGGCAAGACGGCAGCGTACTTGATCCCATTGTTTGCAGATATCCTGCGCCGCACTCCACGACTACTTGGTAATGAGGCTCTCATTTCGCACGGCCCGCTTGCACTTGTGATGGTGCCTACACGTGAGCTCGCCGAACAAGTGACACGGGAAGCAATTGAAATTATACACGGAATTCCCGAAATGGAACTGCGGCGTCTAATACAGGAGGAGTACAAGAATGACCCCGGCAATGATAACGTGGCTGCGCAGCACAATACGCTTGACGAAATTCGTGTCGTGAAGGTTGTGGGTGGTGAGCAAATGGAGGCGCAGTATGATGAGTTGTCCAAGGGTGCTCATGTTGTGGTTGGCACACTTGGACAACTGGACGCATTGTTGCAGCAGCGGTTCCTCGCTCTGGGTAATACGCGTCTTGTAGTCATGGATGAAGCAGACCGTATGATTGAGGAGCATCAGAGAGAGACACTTGTTTCCGTGCTAGAGCGCTGTCCGATGCCCCGGCAGACTGTCATGTTCACCGCCACATTGAGTGAAGCGTGTGAGGAGGTGGCGCTGAAATATTTTTCACCGGATGGCTTTATCGTGGTGCGTGTGCCACACCGCTGCTCAACCATCACGCAGGTGTTTGAGATGGTGCCAAGCGACGCGGGTGCGATGGCTCCTGCGCCTGCCACCGTCGCGGCTCGCAGTGATGTGAACAACCACGATACCTCGCAGCAACGTTCAAATCAGCCGCAAGTGGAGCGCCGCCGTCACCCGCTGTTGCATCCCATGAAGTTTGCCCGGATTGTAACGTACTTGGCGTACGCAACCGCCCCCGTCGTGGTGTTTGCCAATGAAAAACGCACATGTGACGTACTGTACGATGAATTGCGTGCTGAGGCAAATCACCTTGCCACACTGGAGGAGAGCTTTTCACTGGAGGCTCTCGTTGGAGAATCCCCGCCCGTCCTGCAGGGAACCTTGCCTGACAACAATAAACACCGACGGAGGCCCGTGCTAAATCTTGCCAACATGCGTTCTATTGCGTTGGTTCACTCGGAGCAGTCGCAGGCTGAACGGCGACGACTTGTAGAACTTTTTCGCCGCGGTGAGCGCCGAGTGCTCATTACCACCGATCTCCTTTCACGTGGCCTTGATGTGCCGAATGTGACACTCGTAATCAACTACGATATGCCTCGCGTGGACAAGGTCGGGCCTTCCATGGCTGCTGCCTCAGCCAGCGCGGGGGAGGAGGCGGTGCAAAAGTATATTCATCGCATTGGCCGAACCGGCCGCGCGGGGGCGAGCGGTGTGGCGGTCTCACTGTTGTGCCTGCCGTCCTCGCTGATTCAACGTGCCGAGCAACACACCCTGCGCAGCGCAGACGACAGGAGTCATGCCGGGAACGCGGCGGAGAAGCCTCCGAAGCAGCGGATTGACATGGCAGGCGTCTCTACAAAGACAAGGGTGCAGGAACGCGATCGGCAAGAATTGACGGGCGCGAAGAATGGCGAAGACTTGGATGAAAATCTGCTCAAATTCAACGATACGGATGATGCGATGGACAACAACGCGGAGGATGAGGATGAAGAGAGCGATGCGCCGCCGCGATCACGTCGGCGGATGGAGCGGCAGCAGCAACGAGGAGATGGTGGTGGTGGTGGTGGTGGTCCTCCGCCATCATTCCCGCATGACGAACCGTTGCTGCAGCCGCTTTGGGCGTTTATTGTGAGTTGCGCGGAGGCGAATGGCGGCGGTGTGCGTGGCGCTGAGCTCATTCGCCAACAGCGATGTCGTCTTGTGCAGATGTCACCTGCCCTTGCGGCCCTCATGATGGCCTTCACGCGGAGTTCACCGTACGGTGCCATCATGACGTAGTGATCTCACTCACACCCACACACACCCACTCTCTCTCTCTTTTCATCGATGTTTATGGTTAGAAGGGAACAGAGACAAATTTGCACACATGGCGGCCGCCGTGTCTCTGATGGTGGTGATGTCCCACGAGGAAAAGGGAGAAAGACAAGAAAAAAACAAAAAACAACAACTGGACCAGAACCAGAGGATTGTATACATGCATATATATATATATATATGAACGAGGCACTTGGCTTTAAATTTAATGGCCATCTGCTGCAGTGAGAAGCGCGAAAGAAGAAAAAAAGACAAAAGGAGATGAAACTGAAGAAAAAGAAGAACGATGACGCTTGAAGGAGTAATGAAAATACAGACAAAAAACACACACACACACAACAAGCAGAGATCTTCTTTTTTTTTTTTTTTTTTTATCTTTCTTTTATTCATACATTTGACATTATTTTGAACAAATTTTTGTGCTCGTTTATCTTCTGTCGATTTTGGCAGCATTAGGCTTTTTTGGGAGAAATGTAGCCCGCATGCTTGTAAGGTGAGCCTCATCTCCTCCTATCTCTTTTCTTTCTCTCTCTCTTTATTTATATATTCTGTACATGTGAAGAACGGAAGCGGGAACAATATCTTGGGAACGGTACTTACCCCTTGTGCCACACGTGTCCCCACTCTACCCGTTTCCCCCCTAACCCCAACGTCGGCACCATCCATGCAGCACCTTGACAACATGGAGGATCGCGTGGATGCACTACTGCGCCAAATAGCAAATGGCGCTGAGCGCCGGGATAAGATTGTGGAGGCGGTCTCGCAAGCTGTGGCCGACACCGGAAGTCTCTCGGCCTGCGTGGAGGATGTTCGTACGGTGTCGCGACGCATGCTGATTTCCTTTGTGGACACGAGTTCCGGTCTGGCACGCACTGTTGGTGTGAGTGCGTCGCTGGCGGAGCGGAGCTCACGGCGAGTGAAGCAGTTGGACATGTTGTTGCGTCGAGTGCGGGAAGCGCAGGTGGTGGCAAACTCGCTGCAGGAGATGCGGCACACGGTGGCAAGCGTGAATGAGACGATGCATTCCGGTGACTTGGAGCGCATCGTTGAGCTCATCCGTAAGTACGAGGAAGCGAACGTGAACCTCGGTGGCCGCGCTCCCCCTTCACTCCTACAGGATTATGATGATGATGATGATGATAATGGTGGCATGAAAGAGAATGTGAAGGGAAAAGAAGCGGATTACGCCAACGGTGAGGAGGTGGCGCCGAAGCAGCAGCAGCAGCAGCAGCAGCAACAACAATTGATGATGGTGGAAGATGGCAACAGGGACGCGACGTATCCTTCTCATTGTGCCGCAAACAAATCAAGAGAGAACAAGAACAGGGATGGAGACAATGATGCCAGCCATCCCCGTAATCATCATTTTGAGGCGGCGAGTATCATCGCCTCGGCACGTGAGTCGGCACGTGAGAAACTGTTAGAGAAATTTCGTGTTGCATCGCGTTCAAATGACAAGCTGACAATTATGCAAGCAACGCGTCTTTTGACGCAGCTGGGTTTTTCTGAGGAAGGCTGCTCTCTCTACTGCACATGGCTGTGTGAGCACACCATTGCCGCACTCAAGAAGATGGTTGACCGAGAACTGCGCAAGATGGACGACCCAACGGAAGCGGGCATGAGTCACCTTGGGCTTGTGTCCACCGTTCTTGACGCGGTTGTGGCCGCCTTTGAGAACGAGGAGGAGTTTATACGGGAGACGTTTGGAGACGCAGGGCTGTTGAAGTTGCTGACGGAGTTGCACTGCAAGTCCACCAGTCAGTGTGTGCCGGTGCTGAAGGACTTTTTAAAGAAGCGGCAGGAGGTACTGAGCTCTGTTACATCGGCCGGTGGCATCAATACAAACAGCAGCAGCAGCAGCAGCGGCAATGCGAGGGGTCAATTTCCTGCTGGCTCCGTGGAAGCCGCTGCCGGGTCGCCTGTTTTCCCCACGACTTCTTCTGCGGTCGCGGCCACCGTTGACCCGCGACGCACGGATCAAATATTGGAGGAAATGTCACATCTCGTGTCATGCTGTCATCTGTACTGGACGTTTGCTCAATCGAAACAGCAGGAATACATGCATGGCGTGGAGGCTACTGGGAAGCAGCATGAGCAACAGGAAGTGGTGGTTTCTGTGGATTCCTTGTGGTCCTCACGTGACAATCCTCTCATGAACACCGTACAGGAGATACTAGGGGTTTTTGTGCCTCTGCAGACACTGTACTTTGAGGCGGCATTTGAACAGGCCCTTCGACTGCAGATGGACGCGTTACATGCAGCCGCTAGAGAGGCGTTGATGTCAGGCACTGAAGGTGGCGGTGATCTTTCTGCGAGGAAACGTACTGGTGTCATTGTCCACAGCAGTAGTCATCATCATCATCATCACCAGAGTAGTAAAAAAAACGAGACGTACTCATCTCCCTCTGCAAAAAAGACGGCAAATTTTATGACTGGGCTTGCGGCGTTGTACACATCTACGGCGGCAGCGTCTGGTGGAGAAGACGAGGAAATGCCAGATGCCGCCATGGATCAAGTCTCCATCACACTCCCAGATGATGTATTCTTCTTCCTTCGCATCGCCCTGCATCGCGCGGTGAACACAAAATCCACACAAATTATCTCGGCTGTTTTTATTGCATGCATTGAACTTGTGCAGTCCAAACTGCTCCCTGTATTGCAGCTACAAACTACACTGCCGCCGGCAGCACAGCTGCAGCAATTGCAACAGCAGCGACAGGATTTTACAGTGCCGTCCCGCGTGCTGCGCTGGACCGTAGCGGCGCATTGCACCGCCACATACGCCAGAAAGCTTGCGGAAGAACTGCGTCAATTGGCACGCGAAAATTTCTCCGGGAAGGACCTGTTGCGCTTCACAGAGCAGGCGGAAGACATGGACGCGCTCTCGCGTGAACTGACGACATCTGTAGAGCAGTGGGTCGCCCGGTTCGCGGAAGTATGCTACCAGGTGCACCTCACATCACATCTTGAGCGTTTCTCTACCCTCTCATATAATCTGACGGAGGAGATGTTTTACCATTACGAACTGAGCGATCCGTGGGTGCAGGTCTGCGTTGCCGCGGCAGATGTCGTGTTAAGACCATTGGACGCGCATCTTGACACGCATTGCTTTGATTTGTTTCTCCTCGCGCTTGTGCGACGTGTTGTGAAGACGCTGTGGCAAGCCATTTTGCAGAAGTCGTTCAGCGGGTATGGGGCACTGCAGGTGGACCGCGATGTGCGCACCCTTCGCACTTTTTTTCTTGGACGCGCCCATGAACTGCAGCTGCGGGAGCCGTTCCTGCTCCTCACAAGCGCCACGTCACTGCTGCTGCTGGACAGCCCGAAGGACGCGGAGCAGGACGTGTACGAGGGACTTACAGCAGATGACAAGAGGCGTCTGTTGGGTTGTCGTTTGGAATTCAAACGTGCAGAGATTGAACGATTGCGTCTATGAGGAGGTCTTACTTTTTTTTTCCTGTGTGTGTGTGCGTAAGGAAACAAGAAGAAAAAGAAAAGGAGCGAAAAGGAAGCATGAAGAAGAAGAGGGAGGGAGAAAAAAGGGGGGGAAAAAAAAATAAATAGACGTCATTGCGCCTCTCTTTTTCCTCTTCTTTTTTTTTTTTTTTCCCCCCCCATTGCCACCTACATCTCCCCGTATATACATGCGTACATACACGGAGAGACACAGAAAAACGAAGAGACATATATGTATATGTTTGTGTGGTTGCATTTTCGTCATGATGTTCTTCTTCTCTTTTCTTTGATTGTTTATTGGATGCATTCAGTATATATATATATATATACAATTATAGAAAGATACATAGTAAAAAAAGGGGGGACACGAACCAGGCGACGAGGGGGGGGGGGAGGGGGTAATTCCACGTGTCTGACGTAGCTGTCCTTATTCCTCATTCTCATTGTTATAAATATTAATAATTGCTGTTAACATCGTCACGGTAGTTTAAACGACACACGCCTGGATATATATATATATACGTATTCTTCCAATCATATGTCTTACCATCGTAGCAACAGTGGCAGTAACCAAAACAGCAATCGAGGTGGTGCTGGTTTGCGGCGGCAACGATCTCCAAGCCCTGATGCACATCCTCAACACGCTTCCTACAACAGCGGCAGCGGCAGCGGCGGTGGTGGTAGTTACGGTCTCTCTCAATCTTATCGTTCCCAACCGCAACAACGTCGTCATTCACCACCACATCGGCCGCCGTTTCGCCGTCGACGGGAGGATATGCCGTACACCATTCCTGACATTGCCCCCAGACTTCATGTGCCGCACGAGTTACCGGTGGATGTCACGGCTTTTTTGGACCTCATTGCTTTTTACGTTGTTCAGGGTGGTCCGACCGCGGAGGAGGAAATTATGAAACGCGAGGAAAATAACAGTCACTTTGCTTTTCTTCATGCACCATGGAATGACCCGATGCAGTTGTACTACCGCTGGCGTCTTTACTCGCTGCTACAGGGTGACACACTCCTTAAATGGCGAACAGAGCCGTACCAAATTGAGCGTGGCAATGAGGCGTATGTGTGGGTGCCGCCGCCGGCAATCCCTAGTGGACCAGAGTGTCTTCTCGATGCATTCCAGGCCCACACGTCCGTATATAAAGGCAGTGATAAAAACAGGGACCTCAAAGTGAAGGAATCCCCGCAGCCTGTGCCATCTGCATCATGGTTGTCAAGAATGTCTGTGTCGGAAGGAGCCTTCTTTGTTACACTTGAGAAACCGGCGGCCGCGGAATGGCAGCAGCTTCTAAGAATGAAACACCACGTCACGGAGTTGGCGGCCCCTCATGGAATGCCGTTGGAGGAGCGAGTCAAGTCATTGACAGCAATTTTGCTTGACGGCGAACTCATTGCACAACGCATGGTGTTTGCGATTGAACATCAAAAAGCCGCGTTACATTTGTTAAGTCTTGTGCTTGACGAAGTGGTGCGGTTAGCGTATGATTCAGCCAAGCCCTTGCGTCCTACCGATGGGCATGACGATGAGGCCTCGCGTGGGACCTGCAGCCCCATGAATAGGAGTCATAGCGGTGATGTAGACAGCAGCCCGTGTGGCGATGAGGCCTTTTATGCCGCGGCGCGTTGTTGCATGTGCCTTTCCTATCTTTTTACGCTAAATGACATTGGCAATAACGGTGGGGCCGCACCTTTGACAGAGGAGGAGATAGTTGCCATTGCACCATCGTATGAGAAGCGCTGCAGCGGCACCTCAGCTACTCACAACGCCACCACTACGAAAGGCAACGATAACAACAATAGTAATAGTAACAGCAACAGTACTGGCGGTGGCACTGGTGGTTTAACGCTTGCCACAGGCTCAGAGGCACCGCATGCCGCAGCATCGATTGGTATGTCGACACACACATTGCCACTGAACATACCCCTGCCGGCATCCGCAGCCACAGGGACAATGATGCCGTCTTCTTTTTCTTCCTTGCGTCTACTGAACCGGGCGCTTGAGAAAATTATGCCTACGCTCATTGAAGCCACACTTTTTGTGGCACTTTGCACGGTGCAACAGTATGGCTCACTGTTAGTGGACAACGCCCGCGAAACTTCGCGGAGTTCGGCGAAACCTCCCGGTGCCGAAGAGCTTGAAGGCATTCTTCCACTTGACATCGACCAGGCAGCATACGTGCATGTGCAGGTCAAATTGTCCGCCGCGCGTGCAACGACGTCGGGCACGAATAACTCTACGAGCGGCACTGGAACGGCCACAAACTCCTCCTTATCGATGTCGGCGGCCCCGACAAAATGTACCCCTGCCTCCGCGGTGACTCATTTAAAGAAGGAAGAACGCGATGCTGTCTGCATGATTGCCATGTTACTCATTTCATGGTTGAAGCAGTTGTGCTCCTCATGGGCGGACGCTGATGTCATTGGAAACCGCTGCTGGAGTACGCTCCTGACGAAGTACGTTTACCTTCTTTCTCAGCCCATTGAAACGACATGAATACAGCTATGAGGCCATCACTGAGTGTGTAGAAGGGAACTGGAAAGGAAAAGAAACAGTTTTATCTGCGAGAGAGAAAGAGGGCGAGAGAAAGTGTGTGTGTGTGTGTCTGTGTCTGAACGTTGAAAATATCTTGGTGAAGATGAAAAAGGAAGGAATTGGGTTTTACGGGCGTTACTCTGGCATTTATGCATATTTATGTCAGAGAACTGCAAGAGAAAAACATGCCTACTTATATTGTTATGTGCACACACACACACACACACACACGCATGTACTCTCTTTATTTACCTCCCCTTTTTTTACGTGTATATTAGAAACCGATGGAGGCAGACCCGGTTACTTTTGATGACGCGCCACCTTCATTTGTGCGTTGTAAACGATTGAGTGAACGTGTCGCTAATGTTCTGCAATTTGGGCGGCCGCCATCGCGCGGTGCCTCCAGCATCAATCGCTTAGCACCCAACGCGAGCACTGCACCACCGTGTACTCCACCACGTGCAATAAGAAAAACCCCTCAAGGAACCACCACCCGACGCTCGGCGTCAACGGCTTTGGTGTTGTTGGCCCCTCCAATTGATAAATTAATTATCGGGACGCATGACGTTGCCACGCAGCATGGGGAGTTACAACCATTAAAACATCAAAAGCAAGCATTGCCGAGGAATGACACTCACATACATTCAGTCCATGTACCGAGAGGCTTAAAGGACTTCATAGCTGCACCTGCGTCTTTGCCAGTCACGAGCGATCAAGCAAACCACAATAATTGTTTCCCTTCTCCTTCCTCTTCCTTTGTTTCCACTGCCTTAACAGCTGAGGCATTCTGTAGAAGTGCATCGCAGCACTCCCGCGGGAAACAGATGTCGCAACCACACCAACCCCAACAGGAGGGAAGCCCCGGTATTTTGTCGAGTCAAATGACACCTTTAAGTTTGCGGAAGTTGTCATGTGGCGATTCATCGTGTACAGGTGAACTGGCTGTGTTAGAGAGAACATCAGGAGGAGGGGAACGAGGAGAAATCAATTTGATGCAATACGCGACCAAATATGTCGTCCCATGTGTGATGGAGGAGGAAGAAGAAGAAAAGGAGATGTCTGGTCCCCCGTTTCAACAAGAAGAATACGAAGAAAAGCGACATGTTTCTCATCAACAAATAATGGAGACAAAATGTGACGACAGCAGGATTTGTCCCATACCTTCAACCTCTTTCTTGGATGGTGCAACGCCTCCCACAGACGTGGAGACCGATGCGTTCCAGACGCGGAGGTCTGTCTTTCGTCCAACGTCGTTTTTGTCACCTCCATACGAAAAATGTGATGTCACAACACTATTGGTAGTGGCTAAGGGCGGGTTGAGTGTAAGTAGCAGCGAGAACTATCACCACAACAAGAAGAGCCATGCAGGTGAAATGGGCATGAAACTTACCCTTGGGCCGCTGCTTGTTCGTGTGTTTGTGCCTCAAACCATGTTGGAGGAGACGACTGTACTTGACCTCAAGATGGAGGTGGAGCGTCACGTTGATATTGCCGCCGCACAACAGACGTTGAGAGCCGACGGTGTAGTGCTGTTGGATGAATTGCCGCTCTCCTTCTTGGATCCCTCGACAGTTCTCTTCATGGATGTAGAGTTCCCCTCGGAAGACAGGAGGGAAGAACATTCAAGGTGGAGGAATAGGCATGCGGTGCCGCAGACGGATTCCCCACCTGCACTGCAGCAGTGTGAGGCATCTTCGTTGTCATCACCGCCTGTTTGTGATGCTCTGTTAGAGCAGATGGAGAAGTTTATGCGAGCTCCGGTGAAGCAACCACACGTAGCGTCGGAGAAATCTGCCATCTTCTCCTCCGCCGCCTCCCCCGCAGATGCTTTACGTCCAAAGATATTAAAATTCACGGTGAGTCCGACAACCCACTCAACAACGATGAAGGCTCCTCATGTGACGCCCGTCATTGTTAACGCCAATAGTAGTCATCAAGCGGTTTCTCTGGAGAATCTTCAGGGTGGCAATTGCATGGAGACGGCTAATGATACGGACAACGCTGATGATGATGACGATGGGATGAAACATGAGAGGAAGAAACAGTACACGGCAGATGTCACCGCCATTTTCCAACCCCAAGGCATGGCAGTCCCTTCCAGCAGCGTATTGTCTGGTGTTGGTTCGGCTATGCACAGAGACACTGCGGGTGCGGATTCCATTTTATCTAAAAGACCATCTGTGAATTCGCATGGGTTGCTGGAGGACGCCATGGCACGAGCGCAGCAACAGGTGGAGTTGTTGTCATGGCTTTTTAGTAGATCTGGTCACTCCGGTAAACGAAGCGGTGGTCATTCTCTGAGCGGGAACGTAAGAAGAGAGTAAAGAGAAAAAAAAAAAAAAAAATACAAATGGAAAGAGAAGAAAAGAAAAGAGGGGTGAAGTGGGGAGGAGGACCTCAAGAAGGCGAAGAAATATATATTTTTATATAAATGTGTG